AGAGAGAGAGAGAGAGAAGTAAAGAGAAATTAGGAAAGAATAAAAATAGAGAAATAAAACGATAGAGAAAGATAGAGAAAAATATAGATATAATAGATAGATAAATAGATAGAGAGAGAAAGAGAGAGAGAGAGAGAGAGAGAGAGAGAGAGAGAGAGAGAGAGAGGGAGGAAGAGAGGGAGAAGTCGAATTTGTCGCGACAATCTTCCGTTTATCGAGCGTGAAAATTTATCAACCATCTTAGAATGTTTGGAGGGGGAGACGCTCCTTATTATTTATTTCTCCCTTCCTTCGGGTATAAATATCGCTTAGGGCCGACTGTTTACCATATAAACGCCCCCGAGGCACGCCACTCATTTGAATTCTCCAGTTTTTCCAGCTTGTAACGAGCTCGGGGTTGTACGTGCAACAGCGGTTACCCTCCCCCCGAGGAGGCAACCGTAGGGGACCATCCGTAGTTGCTTTCCGCCGTAGAAAGCAACAACCCACGGGAAGATCGTTCCCGGATTCGTTATAATTTCATGCGCGTATTTCTCGGCCTTGCTCGCGATTTAACGTTTTCACCTACACCACTATCGGGTATATATACGTGTATGTACGTATGTACGTATACACGTGCACGATGGAATTTTTCATAAGCGTCACGCTTCTTCCATCCGAGATCCGCGTAATTAGATTAGCCGAGCGCTAACATTGCCTCCCTTCCTATGCGAAATTAAGGTATATAAGTAAAGGTGCCGTAGAGTTGAACGGAATTGGAATCTTTGAATATTGGTATTTGGATTCGAAATTTTACTTATTTAAGCCGTGGATCAACAGTTTAAATACCATAGAAGGCCGTTTCGATTAATGGAATTCCGCAACACGGCCGCAATTAACCCTCAAAGACCCGAGGCGGTGGTCGAAACGTCGACCGGCGTGCTAATGGGGGACGGCGGCCTGCCGTGTCGCGCATTCGAAACGCATTTAATGAATTCCGTTACCGGGCTGAATCCGAAGACGGCGATCCGAATCGTTGCAATCGTTCCTTCCCTACCTCCTCTGATATGACATAATAATATAATGATATAAATATTTTTATTTTAAATTGTTATAAAAATATTAATTTGTTGGAATTTTATTATTTAAATTTAGTTTATTAGTTTATAATGGTATTAAGATTATATTTTTCAATGATTAATTTATTCAATAAATTCAATAAAATTTAATTTTTTTTTATCTTAATTGATTATAAGTCGTTAATATTTGTATTTAATAATTTTTAGTTAGGATAATTTTTTCAATAATTATTATTTACAGAATTTGTTATACGGATTTAAGAATATATTATATAGATCGATTTTTTTATTTAATAATTTTATTCTTAATTTCGATGCATATATTGATTTTAAGTCCAAATATACCTCCTCTCTCCCGATTCGACTCGATTAAAATTATTGGCCTCGAATTGCACGCAACGAAGCCGAGTAACCGATCGAGCCGCGTTGCCAAAAAATTTCGACTTCGACCGCGTGGAAAATGCGACGTTTTCCATCAGAGTTTGGCCACACGTAAGAGAAGTTTGCCAACTGTGCGAAAAAGCGAAACTTCCGCCGCGTCATTCATCGTTGATCATCGCCGGACGACCAACTATTTTCATAAATCTTCGCGAGACGACGGAATCAACGTCTTGTAAGAATTCGCCTCCTCTCGATGCAACGTCAAAATTGCGACTTTCGTTCCGACCGTATATTACAATATTATCAAAAATTCGCGAAACTTTTAAAACAATATCGAGTCAAATATGTCCAAATACGACGAGGTGGAAAAGGGAGAAGAAGTTGAGCGAGATGGCACTCGTCGAGCGCGATACGCTGCAAGATCGATGATCGGGGGGGAGGAAGGGAGGAGCGCTCGTGTCTCTGCACGAGGGACAGCGAAGGGATAATGGGGTTCGTTTTAACAAGGCAAACGTTACGATTGTCAAAGAGGGGTCTGTGCGCCGTCTTGCTCGCAAATTAACTCGAGTCGGAGAACCGGTTGTTAGCCGCTATTATGCTGGCAATTCGTACAGTTGGATGGCTCTGAGAGAGAGAGAGAGAGAGAGGGAGAGGATGAAAGAGATGGATGTAAGTGGAAGCGAACGATGAGTCCGTTATTTACGGAGCGCCTCTCTCGCCTTTGCGGAAGAAGATGGAACTATTCCCTCGCGCTAAGCGACGTTCTCTCGCATCTGTCTCGAATCGTTCGAAAGATTCGTTCGATTTAATTTCACTTCCACCTGTTAAATTAGAAATCTCGTAAAGGATTAATTCACGAAGAAACTATTCGATACTCGTAACGGTTCCGATATGGCGATTTATTATTGCGTATTTATTATTATACGAGCGTAAGGTTGGAAGGACGATTGGATCCGACGTGAGAAGAGGAAAATAAGAGAGGCAGTCAGCGCTTCGTATGTAAACCGTAGAAGGAGGGAGGGGGGGACTTGTCTTTGTCTGTTGGGGGAGATTTCGTGAAATAAGAGGAGGAGGAGGAGGTTGGCTCTCTTTGAAATTTCGCCTTGTCCTAGCAATGGAGAGGACGAGATCGCGCGAGGGGGGGGGGGAGGGGGCAGAGGAAGGGAGCTTACGCTTTATTGCGTATTTACATATTTTCACCGAATCCCCTCGACGTTTCATAAAATTCAACGTCTTTATAAGGGTCGGCGCTGTTGCCGTTCCCAGGACGCTTCGTCGACACTTTATACCTTTGAATTTCTGCGACAGAGATTTCTCCCCCCTCCTCTCCAGGCAGTTAGAGTAGAGTTAGGCTCCCCCTTATAGTGGATCGGTTCAACACTCTTGGAGAACCTCGAGATCCCTCCCCTAGGGAAGAGGAACGAGGATGGAAGAAAAATAGCCACTTTCTTTCGGGCGGGAAATTTAAATTTTATTAGCACCGACCCGTTCTTGGGATCGAATAATTGCCACCGAAAAATCCCGTCCAATTTTTCACTTTTCCTTCCTTTTCCGACGACGAACCACAAGCAAACGTTGGAAAGTTTCGCGATACGAGATTCCAAGTTTCGAATGATTAACTACTCCGACCGAAAGACGATTCTCCCTTCTTTCTATCCAACTCGTTGTTTATCTCGCGTTAACATTCCCTTTAAAGCACAGAGGTGACGTTCCAAGATCCACCTCAGGATCGAAAAATAATTCGAAAAGAGGCGTCGAGGGAGGGTTGAACGCTGGCCGAGGAATTCGGGGGAGGCAGGCGTGGAGAAATCGAGGGTTGCCGTGGCAAGCGGGCTAATTGAGATGTCGGCCTCTCGAGAGCGCAACGAACAGCTCAACTCCCTTCGAGAACTCCCCGCTCTATGTCGCTTCGAAATTATTAATAGCTCCTTATCCCCTCCCCAAGGGTGCTCTGTCGACATTCGAGAAGAATTCATTTTTGACTCGTCACAAGCAATCTATAAACGTATCTTTACTCCTTTCGAAATATTAATTCGAAGCTTCGAAATTATTAACAGCTCCTTATCCCCTCCCCAAGGGTGCTCTGTCCCTCTGTCGACATTCGAGAAGAATTTATTTTTGACTCGTCACAAGCAATCTATAAACGTATCTTTACTCCTTTCGAAATATTAATTCGAAGCTTCGAAATTATTATAAATTATATAAATTATAGTTCCTTATTCCCTCCCCAAGATTGCTTTATCGTTGTCCAAGGCCCAGTCCTTCTCAGACTATCAACATTCGCGAAGAATTTGTTTCTGGCTCACAAGTAATCGATGAAATATTAATTCGAGTAGTCGACGCTTCGAAATTATTAATAGCTCCTTACCCCCTCCCCAAGGGTGCTCTGTCGTTGTTCGAGGCCCAGTCCCTCTCAGGCCGTCGATATTCGCGAAGAATTTGTTTTTGGCTCATCACAAGCAATCTATAAACGTATCTTTACTCCATGTGAAATATTAATTCGAGTAGTCGACGCTTCGAAATTATTAATAGATCCTTACCCCCTCTCCAAGGGTGTTCTGTCGTTGTCAGAGGCCCTCTGTCGACATTTGCGAAGAATTTGTTTTTGGCTCGTCACAAGCAATTTATAAACGTATCCTTGGAGTTCAATATTAATTCGAGTAGTCGACGCTTCGAAATTATTAATAACTCTTTACCCCCTCTCCAAGAGTGCTCTGTCGTTGTCCAAAGCCCAGTTCCTCTCAGACTATCGATATTCGCGAAGAATTTGTTTCTTAATCGTCACGATCGATGAACATATCCTTGTTCCATGGAATTCAATATTAATTCGAGTAGTCGACACTTCGAAATTATTAATAATTTATAATAAATAATAATATATAATAATAAATCCTTATCCCCTCTCCAAGGGTGCTCTGTCATTGTCCAAGGCCCAGTCCCTCTCAAACTATCGACATTCGCGAAGAATTCGTTTCTGGCTCGTCACAAGCAATCTATAAACGTATCTTTACTCCATGGAGTTCAATATTAATTCGAGTTTCGATTAGCTTCGAAATTATGAAATTATGAGAGACCCAGTCCTTCTGTCGACATTCGCGAAGAATTCGTTTCTGGCTCGTCACAAGCAATTTATAAACGTATCTCTACTCCATGCGAAATATTAA